TAAGCATGAAGCTACAGGGCATTTAGGACTGTCACTCTTTCTTCTTACTCTAGATCGTGTGGTAGAGCTTAGTTGCAAGAAATCAATTTCCTAAACTCTATCTTATTCATAATACGATGATGCCCACATCCAGAAAGACGTTTGGTAAGAGAAGTAGTTGTGGAAGAGTTGAGTCAAATGAACTCGATTTTTGCATCATGCTTATGATGGATAAATATGAGGTATTCAACAGATCATGTGTATACTAAACATGTGTAAGCTTCTTGATAAGTATTCCTAAGAAAAGATTGCCAATCCACTCTTACGGTAAAAAAGAATAAGATAATCGGAAGGTAGACACAAGTTTCAGCAAGTAAAAGAAGCAAGGTGAAGAAGGGTACGAGGTGCCTAGTTAATGAAGATTAACAGTATTTACAATTCAAGCAGAGAAATATAAACTTTTTGAGTTGACTTCAATTTTAATAGAGGTATGTACAATTAGCCACACCCATCTCATTTATGTCATATGGAAACTAACATAAGTAGTATAAGAGAAGTACGGATATCAGGATCCGGCTGGGGTTAGAGTGATCCAAAATGGTGGATGGATTTTTAGTGTTAGTTGATATATTCCGAAGGATAATGCAAATATGCTAATAGATCTCCATGTATGACACCTAGATGGTGCACTCAAAAATAGTACAACTAGATATGAGTACTACAAAGATAGGCACTGGAAGCCTTGAAATGGATAAATATTACCTTAGTGTGGCTCCCGGCCCTAGTAAAGAAAGAATGTAAGGCAATCTGAAGATCCAGTTGATGGAGAAAGGGGAGCTAAAAGCAAAAGAATGTCCTGTTGAAATTTTTAAAATAAAGTGATAGACAGAAAGGTTAGCAGGAAATGAGAAGAGAGTTAATGAAATATTATGAGTAAGATGTGATGCATGGATGACAATGGTATATAAAACAATGACAGTATTACAGAGTATATAGTCATGTGAAGGAAAAAACGAGAGGAGCCAGGCCTTGAGACAACAAAATAGTATAGGCCATAAAGTCATATCATCATTTTGAGAAATAAGTTTGTGACTCCAACGCGACTACCAGAAGGGATAGTAAGCATCATGAGAATTTCAGATTGTGTTTCATCGATAATAGAATGGACAATAGAAGAAGATTCATGAGAAAATCAGAGAGTTGTCATTCAGGAAGACGCTTCCCTAAAACAAGCAATGTGAGCAAAGTTAAGCTTAAGGGGCTATATGTGATAGTTGCACTAAGTGTCACCCTCACGAGTAAGGAATTTTTTTATCCTTGGTACAGAAGGACTGCTGCAAGGCAAGTAAGAGTCATCGATGATATGAAAAGACGCAAAAGGTGAAGAGCTAAAACATCTAGAGGTAGATCATAGTAGCGCTAAATCTTAGTACTCCCTAAAGCGGGGGAATATAGAGTGATGTGACATTAAGTCAGAATTAAGTTGTTCTAGTAATTATGGCATGGTAAGGGAAGAATGTGATAAAAAAGGAAATATGGATGAGATTGCACTTATTCAAAGTCTATGGATATGCTACGTTCTAGAATATTATGCATACACGATATCAAGGAAAGGGAGTAAGGGTCCCTGCCTGAGATATTATTGATAGATAAGGAGCCAGTGCGACACGTAAGTTAAGACAAAGGAAATAACCCAAGAAAAATTACGCAAAATACTGATACAAGAATGGGCCAACGAGTAGTTAGTAATTAATTGAGGAAGAGATTATTTATGGCTAAACAAGACGTTACAGAGGAGTTAGCATATCGTGCAAGATAAACATAGTAAAACGTAATATAGTGAATTCAGCCTCGTAGTAATGTCATTGTAATACTTGAGAAATATTTAAATAGGAGTTGGGGTAGTTAAAGCTATCGTATGAGTATTACGTGATGTTTTAAACGTCAATACCACACAAGAGGGGGGGTGATTTTTGTGGTACCCAATTTTTGCTTAACTGAACTATAGAAGGACCTGGTTCTTCTATGTGTTCCAACTACTACTGTTTGTGGAATAATAAATAAAGAAAATAAGGAACACAAAGATTTTTACATGGAAAACACCTGGCTTAAAAGGTGAAAAAATCACTACCTACTACTCAGTAGGATTTTCCCAAACTTCCACTAAAATCACTAAGCAGAAACAACATTTACAAAAACTCTTTGTAAACCTAAGGATTAACGCTAATCTCGTTGTGTCACACAACCTCAACTATTGCGACAACTTCAAGTTTACTCTAACTTGAACACTCTAGGTACCTAATACAATTTCTTCTATGAAAGTTGAAAGGTACAATGTGAAATCACCTACTACAATTGAACTAGAATAAAAGATAGACACATGGAACTAGTTCTTCTATCTCGTTCAAGTAGCTTCAGGATTCCACACTCGAATAACACATAAATTGCTTGTAAAATCACCTTGCTCTTTTGCTCTCAATTTAAGTTTAACTTCTTCTTGTGTGCATTACCTGTAAAAGAGAACAACACTGATATTTAATGGGTTAGTAATTAGAGATTGACTAGGATTCAAATGCTACTCTTCTATCGTAGACGAATTCAATATGATCTCAAACTCTAACACTATCTTTTTTCTATATTGTGTTCCCTTCATGTAAGGAGTCTTTCTCTTCTTATCCAATATGCAACCTTTTTTATCAGATCAGGAGATATTGCTTCTCGATCAATTAGATTTATTTCTTTCACATGCATCTCATATGCACAGGTTGATCATGATTGTGCTTCATAAGATAGACCTGGTCCATGTCTGAGTTCTTTGGTCAATCTTCAAAACATTACCTATTGTTGGGCTAACAAATTTCCCCTTTTTGATGATGACGAACTCTATGCTTTCTACTTACGTGGATCCTGAAATAAATCAGCTTAACCATCAATACAAAGATGAGAAAATTCACTTATCATCAAGGACCAGGTTAATTAGGTTATAAACATCACTTATTCACAATATGTAAAGCACAATATCTCTTCCCCCTCTTGGCATCATCAAAAAGTTGCATACAAAGTGTGAGTCCTAGATTTTATTAAGTACTTATGGCCACTGGGAAAACTGCAAGTGCAATCAGGGTTTAATCATCAGTAATCAAACAAACATATTTAAACTATCAATGAAAGATTAACATTGACCAATAGCAAATAGAGTAGATATCATTGATAGAGGATATGTTGCTACCACAATCCACAACCAGAAAGCAAAAGTCATTTAAAACATGAGGAAAAAAATATAGAAAAATCCCTAATCCGGGCCACTGAAGGTACTAGACAGGTTCAAGAGACAAAAGATAGAATTCCTAAGGCTTGGGGGAGTTAGAGGGTTGGTTTTGGGCTTGGAGAAGATTCAGCATATTGTCAAGAATTCCATCATTCTTCTCCTTTTCCTTGGTAAGCTCTGTTTTGAGAGCATCCTTCTCAGATTCCACCTCTACCACACCAGCCTTGAGCCTATCTATTTTAGTAACCTTGGCTTCACATTCCTAACTAAGAGCCCTGACTTTACTGTTGATAGGAGTCTTCTTGGATGAACCAGGTTCATTTGGAATGGCATTAGCTAAATAGTCACAAGTAATCAGAGTGTTAATGCCAAAGTGATCCTTCCTTGAGGCCATTTCCCATTTGTTTAGAGGCACATTGCACCTATCCAAAATCGTAGTCAGAATAAAGCCATAGGGGGTAGCATGCTTCTTGGAGCCATTGATGACCCTGTCCAGCAGCTTAATGATGAATGCAGGCCAATTAATTGCCTTCTGCTTTCTAGGCACTACATAACAACTAGGTTTTTATAGTTTGCAATATGCCTTCTCTCTTGCCTAGGCAATAGGCACTTGTTGACAAATTCAATCAAGACATTGTGATGTGGCTTCATTTCACTCTTCTGAACAGCCCTGGCCTCATTCACATCTTCAGCATCACAAAATCTTCTGGTAATGTTAAGGGCAATAAGAAGGGAGTCCAGACAAGGCCACCTTTCCCTTGTATAGTCATCAAACCCTTCAGAGGGTATATCAAGGGTCTCTCCCAGTTTTTCTGCATCAAAGGACACTTCAACTCCATTCACCAGGCTGCTAACCTTGCCATCCTTAACCTCTGCATTTTCCATGAACTCAATGATCTCATTCCTGGCTAGCCTACCATCAATATGAAGGACCATGTCCTTCCACCCCTGAGCAGCTAAGGCATCCACCGGTCTCATCATTTCTGATTCCACCAGGTCTTTCTACAATCTACCTATCAAAATCTTTCTTTTGCCAAACATGGCAAGCTTGTCTTGTTTACCATCAGACTCAACTTCTTCTTCTTCTCCACTCCATTCCTCATCTTCAGAAATTCGTACTTGTTTAGTTTTCACTGTAGACCTTGTCCTCTTGGCTAATGAAGGTTCAGCAGCTTCAGACATAGAGGAAGACTTCTTGGAAGAAGTTTTGGGCTTTTTGGACTTGGAGGTTAGAAGTTCCACTGTTGGAACTTCCTCTTGATGGACCTGTTCCATCTACTCAACTTCCACAACCTCTGAGGACTCTGTAACCTTCCATTTTCCTTTAGCCATCTTTTTCTTCTTACTCTGAGCTAGAAACTTTTGGAGATCACTCTTACTATGTTTCACCATACTTCTTGTAGCTCATCCCTTTGGCAATGAAATTTTAGTAGTTGTTAGGGATGAAGCCTTTCTTTTCTTGGAGGGTTTAGGAGCACTGGGGGCTTTTGGTGTGGGATTTCTTCGTTTCTTTGGACCATAACTTGCCCCAATATTTTTCAACAAGTCTACTAGGGTCTCTTCAGTAGATGAACTAGGTTCATCTCCTTGTGTGCTTAGATTAACTAACCCTTCATCAGCTTCACCAGAACCACTTCCCCCTGACTTCTTGCCACTCTCTTCTACATTTTCTTGATCAACCCCACAGATAGCAAACACAGATAAATCAGCAGTGGGTGAATGATCAACCATTTTTTTGCCATTTCCCCTCTTTTTACCACATGCACCCTCTCTCTCTCTTTTCTTTTTCAGATTTCATTTTACCTCCACTCCATCGTAACTCAGGTAATTCAACATCACTGACAGGTCTAACCAGAACAAACCTAGTTTCTACATTTTCAGAAGAACTTACCTTAGAAGGGGATTCTTGAGTCTTTTTAGAGTCAGAAGACCTAGGTCCTTCCCTATCACTAGCGGATTTGTATGACTCAGAATCAGAGTTGGAGTCAGAGTCTTGGACCTTGCTTGCCTTTAATTTCTCATTTAATTTCTTTGAGAGAACCCCAGATGCTACTCTTTTCCGGGCAAGCATTTTCACCCTTCTCAACCAGGGTTTTGGAGATGTACTAGGTGGAGGAGGGGTAGATGAATTAGAGGGAGTGGGTGGTGGAGGAGTTACAGTATTGTCTTGTGAGTTTCTCATGATCATGTCATACCCCAAAAACCGAGGGGCACGACCGGCGCTCAACCGAGTAAACCCGACTGAGCAAGCCTGTTAGGTTTCATTCTAACCAAACTAATTCATGAATAAATAGAAAATGGACTACATTAATCATACTTTGTAAGTATTTTATTAACAACTTCCACTTTATTTCCATTAGCAGCTTAATTTATAATTATCAAAATATTATAAGTTTTGTAAATCTTTGCCAAATATCAAGATTTCTAACTCAGTTCCCCATTATCAAACACCATCCACAACCTGTCTACGAAGCCTTTAAATACAACTGAAGAGTAAGATGGAAATACTGGCAACAAGGCTCCGGCTATACCTCAAAACGTAGCGTCCCCGGCAAAATGGACGTTAGTGCCAACGAATAGCACTAGTATGTATAACAAAATACCATCTCATTAGAAAGAACAACCATACAAGAACAAAGAAATCATAAGGATTCAACAAAAGCTTTAAACAATCACCACATCATCAAATAAAAGGAATCACATAGCTTTCACCTAATTTCCATAGCTTTAGTTTGGGGCATTTAATACTGGTCATATCATTCACAATACCACTGCTTTCTTGAGCGGAGTCTGATCATGACCCGATCGGCTAGGTTGCCTCATTTGAGCCATATACCTCAATCACAATCTCATTCTCACTTTTCGAAATTCAATATCAGCACAATACCACCATGTGTGTGGCATGGCGTCCGATTATGGCCCGATCGGCTAGGCCGCCTTACCAAGGCGTTGTTCCTTTCTCATTAATCATCTCATTTCAATCTTTATTTCACAAATATCAATTCATAGCCACTTAGGGACACAATTATCACATCATACTTGGCATTAGGCCACATTTCATAACTCACATTCCACATCACTTTCACTTTCAACATCAAACTTGCAATTTAAGATAATGGGCACATACAAGAGCAATTCAGGTTGTAAGCATAGAGATGAATTCTCATGATTCGGCATAATAATCACAATTAATACTTGACTTAAAATCTAGGTAATTTAGCATATAGTTCACATTCCTTACATATCCCCAATTTACCAAGAATAACACATTGAGACACACCTTTCACATATATTCTTGCAACACCAAATCCTTTGAAATAACAAATACTACATAAATCAAATTCCGAACTTACAGCATATGCGGGGACACCATGAGAACTAAATTTCTAAGAAGAGGGGGTTTTAGCCATATATACCTCAACTGAGCTTTCTTTAAATTATTACAAAATTCCGGGACTCTTAGCAACTTCAATCTATTTTATGAAAGTTACAAATTGAACCAAGAATTAAAGACATGATTAAAATTCTAGCTCATTTGAGCACATTATCAAGCACTAGGTGTGCACTGTGATTATATGACCCTTTTGTGAGATTTTCATTATCTTACACCCCAATTGCTATCGTTTTAGTTCACAACCTCGCCATACCCTATTATCTTCTATGCATGCAAGAAAATCCATTTTTATACCTATGAACCCCCAAGCTAATTACTCATTCTAGCGTGAATTTCGAAACCAAATGCTATGGCTCAAGTTCTTACCTCTTGGGGTGAAGGTCTAGCAGCTTTACTTGATAATATTCAAGGATTTAGGCAAGGATTGAGTGGGGACTTGATGAATATCACCCTCTCTCTCTCTCTAGAACTCCCTCTCTCACTTTATTTGAAGCAAAATAACATAAAAGGGGTTTAATGGGTGTTTTTAATGGGATAGGGTCGGGTTTTAAAAGTTAGAAAATAGGAGCCCTGACGAAATCTGCGATCGCATATGCGATTTCATAATGGACATACGGCTCGCAAGAGGGACCATTAAAATGGACTCAAAAAACTAAACAAACTGTCCTGGTATGCGACAGAAATGTGATTATGCAATGACCATGCGACCCGCATATTGATTATGCGATCGCATAATTGTTATATCCTCCCCCACTTAAGATCATTCGTCCTCGAAGGAGGATCAAGGTTCACTCATTAGCAATCTTTATGCAACCTCAACTTTTCATAGCATGAACATATCAACAACCTAAATTTGGCTAACTCCCTAAATTTCCAAAAATTTTGCCAGGGTTTCCTCATCTAGGCATATCCACCTGTCAGAGAGCCCCAGAAACATATCCTAACAGCATATCCACAACGAGAAAAAACACCACAATGTATATATCAACAATACTAATCTCACCATTATAAGCACTACATTATCATAAGGGTACCTAGACATGAACTGCACATTTCAAAATCCTAAAACCTAGAAGGTACTTTTCAAGTCAAAACCAATTGCTATACAATCAAGAGAAAATACCTTATTTCCACAACACTCTCGGTATTCAATGTGGCCTCTTATACTAACAAGCTTTGCTATAACACATTCACGGAAACAATCCCAACCTCCAAACTTATCTAACAAGGATGACAGCTAGATATCTCACATAAGCTAACTATCCATTAACTTCACCTTCAATAATTTCCACTGGAATGATACATAAAGGATATCCAACTTCCTTCTTAGACATAGACACGTGAAAACACAAAATATATGGGGAACAACTATGGGAAAACTTCATACTCCTAGTGCGGCCTAATGTGAAATACACTTATGCAACCTTCATTATCAACTCACATAACATCTTTAGGGGGGAGTATTGCGAACAACCTGTTCACCCTCCTCAATTTTAAATCTCTATACGAACACCCACACTAAAACTTTGATGACCTTCAATAATTACTCTAAGATGTGCTATCATAAACTGACCATAAAATTACCTATCTAATATATGTGATCACACGGGGATGCTTCCTTTTTGACATGTTTGAACCTTCAATACCCACTAGATTTAATATAATAAGGAGAAACGGAATTCAAGATCAGGCTTGAATTACTGAGGAATCCGTTAATGTGCTGAGCAGAGTATTTCATGAAGTGATATGCTAATAGACATGAAGATTACTACTAACAATGCTGACATGGTTAACTATTTTGACGACATTAATGATTAGACAAATGAGGCATATGGGTAACTAGTACATTATCAACAGGAATAATTAAGGAGGAATATTCAAGTACGTGACCCAGTCGTCTCCTAGAGTGTAGGGAAAATCAGTTTATCGGGAAGGAGAATACTCTAGCACCTTGAATGCAATATAGGCTTCAAAGTACACGAAGTTGAATTACACTCATACCATTAGCTGACATAACTAATCCACTCCACACGGCCATGAGAATGAAAAGAAGTGGAACACTTATGAGATTATCATGTTTTAAACAGCTTAACACTTCCTGATAATTGATCCTATATGAGAGAACTAAAGATACGAAAACTTGTATTCCAAATCAATATTCTCATGATATGTGCAAAAATCTGAAGGTATCTAATCTCAACCTTTCACGAGTGAAACCACAAAGCTGGAACATCTTAATATTGGGACACAATTATGTATTGGTCAGAGGGGTTCTAATGGTTAACATGATGCTCCGGGGAGAAAGATAAATAATACTCCTATCCACCCAGGAAGGTGGAATACCAAGGGTAGCAAAACTCCCCACAGATTTCAATGACATCGTCAATAATCCTAGAAGCCGAGTGAGCTGAAGGGCACGTAACCCATTCAATCCGACCCATTTAAGACTTTTGAAAGGGGACGCACTTTGGTTTGAATACATGGCAATATAAGCCTGAATTTAAGGGAAATCATTACTTTTGGAACCCATGAGAGAAGCCCACGTAGCCCTAGAAAATCATTAACAATGGCGAGAAAGTACTTAAAACCCTTACGAGTTGGTGTAAAATAAGGCCTCAAGGTGTCCCCATGAATAAGTTTGAAAGAATAAGACATCTTAATGTATTTATCTGGGAAAGGTAACCTGGGTTATCCACTCACAGGGACAAGCAGAGTAGGTAAATGGTTGTTAGAGGAACATCTACAAGGAATACCAGCAATATTTATTTATTTTAACAAAAGGAATATGTCCCCATCCTTGATGTTATAAGACATGACTGAGAGAGAGGCTTTGACGTATGAATGTGTTACTAGGTGTATTGCTCCTTGGTCAACCAAAAACCAAAAGGCGAGGGTTAGACTGATAAGCAGATCGTTGGACTAGCATATGTGTAGATAATCGAAAGGAGATAATTAAATCTTAGCAATTGCGACATGTTATCAACCCTTGATGAACATGAAGTGAGGTGGGAACCCAATGAGATAGTATAAAATTATCATGGAAGGTTTGTAGGTGTTTATAATGAGTTCTCCATGGATTTTGACTTGAGAAATACCTAGATGCCAATGAAAGACAGAAAAAACATGAAAACAAGCGTTGTGCTATAATAACCCCCGAAGGTGCTCTTGGTCTTGACGGAGAGCCTAGTAAGGGTTCTTATGAGAAAGGAAGAATTACAATGACACATAGAAGGATATGTTCTATCATGGTTATCGAACAAAGTGTTGGGAAACTAGCACAATGAATTCACTAAATAAGGAACACAATTAACACACGTTGTTAGGGTGTAAAGAGAAAATAAACATTTGTTATGAGATGGACATGATTCTGCTATATTAACTCCCAACTACAATACACGACCACGCCATGGGCAACCGCAATACTAGGAACAAAGTGAGCTACTTACTGCGGGATGTCCCAAGTTGGCACAAAAGTTATACCAAGAGACACAAGATCTTCCTGTGATGGGGATGTGAAGATCTCAATTTTCAGAGAGACTTTATGCACATGGTGAAAATTTCGATTGACATGTATTCATGTGATAGGTTTTAATGTATGCTCTTATATTACTAGACAGTGAGAAGCTCTCATGATGATACTCTAAAAAGAGTAGAGTGACTGTTCAGACCATAGAAGCCATATATAATAGTAAGTAAAAGAGTTACTCGAGAAGGATCGCAACACTGGAATATTGTACAAGGAACTTGACACCACATAGGTAAACTTTACGCTGGAGTATCCATGGGCA